CATGCACAAGGGAAAACACCCGGGACACTGTACCCGGTCTTCTTCCGTCCTGGTGGGACTTCCTCTGGGGTCTAGTGATTCAAGACCCAACAGCCTTCCCTTGGCCCCAGCAGCCTTCCCTGAAGCGCACATCACCTGCCACCCACCTGGTGGAAAAGCTGGAAGACCCAGGGCCTGGGAAGGCCAGCCTCAGTCCAGAGCTCAGGTCTAGGCTGAAAACTGCCACAGGTCAGCCCAGGGGCCTCCAGGCACCTGGCCCAGCAAAGCCCTCTGAGGAACAACCGTGCAACTGGTGTCTCCAGGCTCTGGCCTCAGGGTTAGAGGCTGGGCTGGACATAAAGAGAGCCACTTCCTAGTGAGGTTCTGCCTTTCCCTGCTTAGCACCCTCCCTGAAGGGCCTGTCTCACTCAGAGTAAACCCATGGCCCTTCCTGACCTCTCTCTCCCCTCCTCCCACATCCTTGCTTCCCCCTGCTTCAGTCACACTGGCCCCTGAACTCTTCTTCCTACTCACCAGGACACTCCTGCCTCAGGGCCTTTGCACTGGCTGTTCCCTCTGCCTGGTAGGCTCACTCATTTCCCTTAAGTTTTTCAGAAATGTTGCCTTCTAACCACACTACTTAAACATGCAATCCCACACCTCCCCTCCCTTCCTCTGCTCTATTTTTTCCCTTGGCACTTCCCACCATTTAGCATACTTTATTATTCTTCATTTGAAACCATTACCTTCCATTGTCTGTGCCCTGCCACTAAAACTGGACCCACTGAGCAGGGAGGGAGTTAAAGCAAATTCGCTCCCAGATGTAACCCCAATGCCCGCAGCAACCTGGCCCACAATGGGAGCTGGGAGGGGATTTGTGAGAACTGGCCCTGCAGGGCAGCCCTGCACAATTCCCCGGCACAGTCCCCGCTGTTCAGTTCGGTCCCTTTCCTGCCCTTGAGGGCCTCTACCCTCCCCTGAGCGTCCTCTTCTTAAGCCTTCCGGGGGGGTGGGGGGGGGTGCTCTTCACCGCCATCCCCCCACACCACCAAAGGGCACAACCCCCAGCCCTGTGCCTGTGGACGCTTCGCCGGGTGCCCCAGGCAGGAGTGCTGCGACCAGGGTCGCTGTGCCAGCCTGCACGGTGCTCCCACATGAAGAGGCGAACAGTCCAAACTTACCAGGCGGCTGGGCGACGGGATGCGCTCTTGCCGGCCCCCGGGTCGGTGGCGAACCGCAGTCAGTGGACACACACTGGGAGACCTGGCTGCCTTTCTGGGGCGTCCAGGAAGGGGGTAGCCCCGAGGGCCGGGGGCCAGCTCTC